ATGGTATTATATGTAATACAATATGAAAAAGTAAGAGTAAAACGATAAGAATAAGGAGTAGTGAAAAGAAAAAAAGACACCCTTATATAACTATTTTTTTAACGCGTAAAAATCGAATTACACGTAATTACCGTAATTACGCAATGTTTATCGACGAAAAAATTTCAATGATTCGTTATCGATTTCCTTAATTGGATACTAAGCAGTCGAAGACGTTAGATAATATTTACATGATGAAGTTCTCTACGAACTTATTAGAATAATATTTTTAGCAAAACTGGTCTGTGTCCGGATTTGGATACTGAACCACATGAATTACTCATGTACGCAGTTACTATGTGTTGATAATTAATATATTGTCTATATGTATAAAAAAATCACTGACAGATAGCATGCAATTAGACAACATCGACCATATCTTTTGTGTCCTTCTTTGGTATAGTATAGATTTTTAATTGGTGAAAATGTACATTGTTAAAAACTTGTTAGAGCCAAGTTCGCAAAAAAGCAGAATAACAGCCATTTCCGTTCATCTTCATAGAAGTTATTTCGCGCACAAGGAATAAGGCACGAACTTAACTTAATTACCTCTTCATCATATTAGGCGCCATGTGTCAATCATTTTGACACATTTATTTCTTTGTTTGGGTCTTGTATGATAATCGGAGATACGATTTTGAGGCGCACGATCCAAGCTCACGAGTACGTACATATGTACGTACTAGAACAGGAAACAGACATTATTTTTAATGGAACCGGTTACTTTATTATATGTGTATCACAATATGAAACGGAATAATTACCAATATTAGGTATTCGATTTCAAATAAAATATGTATTTACGTCAAAACGTGCGATCCATAAATCCTTTTTTTTTTTAACGTATCAGTATGTATAAACTTATTTACATAATCGTTTACCGACATTCCCTGAATCGGAATTTTAAAAATAAAACTCCTACTTTCGAAATAAGTTCATGTATAACGATAACGGCAAAAATAAATCCGGATCATGAATGGATTTACTGGCCATGACATTATTATATGGATTGATGCTATACAATTGAAACAACCTTTGTGCTTCTGGGTATCTGGAGAATATCCCGGGTACACATGTCGGAGAAATACGGTAATTAAATGAACGTCTTTTACTGTTTATTTTATATTGGACACTATATCACTCATACAAAAAAAGTAAGAATTTTGTGTGAAAGTTTCGCTGTTTCCCGTTTGGCCACCAATAGAAGTCGTTTCGCAACTCAAGAAACATGGCAACGAACTTATCCAAACAAGGTAATATTACCTTTCGCATATTCCGTGCCATGTGTCAATCACTTTGACACTCGCGAATCAGGAATATACGGTTCTGAGGCGTATGGATTCAAAGAAGCCGAGTTCACGGGTACTGGATCGAGAAACGCTTATTATTTTTCACGGGTTCGATTATCTGAAATTAATTATATAGCGATAGGACATGTGTCGGAGTTACCGGAGTTGCGTGGGAAATGATACTTTATATGTAGCATATTTCTACAATGAACTATTGGACAATATGATGTTATATATTTTATTTTAAATATTCGTACTGTACAATAAATTATATGAGTACCGCCGATGAAAAACCGATCCACCTAGTATCCATAGGAAGACTTTCGTATGATTGGCTGTTTAAGTCTATTTAATTTTACATTATTTATACAGTTTAAAGTAATTTTTATAAAAAAATCAAACTACGAAGAATAAACCAAAAAGAAGTATATAAAAAGTTTTATTAGGGTTGTAGGACTCCATCATTAAAATAATCCAAATCATTTTTGATTTTAGAGAAGTTAACATAATAGCAACTTCTTAAAGATAGATAGAATTAGGTTATTACTTACCATGCTACTTCTCTAAAACCAAAAATAATTTTGATTATTTTAATAGTGGAGTCCTACAACCCTATTAAAACTTTCTATATACTTTATTCTTCGTAGTTTTATTTTTTTATAAAAAGTACTTTAAACTGTATAAACAATGTAAAATTAAATAAACTTAAACAGCCAATCATACGAAAGTCTTCCTATGGATACTAGGTGGGTCGGTTTTTCATCGGCGGTACTTATATAATTTATTGTACAGTACGAATATTTAAAATAAAATATATATCATCATATTGTCCAATAGTTCATTGCATAAATATGCTATATATTTTATATATAATTTACATACGAAAAAAACAAATGCATTTGCAAAAGCAATTATATATAATTTTATACTAATACAAGTTGTGGATTTAGACCTTAAACGCGAGCTTTATGGTGAAATCCGAAACTAAATTTTGTTAAAAATAAATGCTAAATTACTAATTCAGTTATTTGAAACACTTATAAATTGTATTAGTTAGTTTTGAGATTTATTCTTATTATGTCGGAGATTCGTTAGTCGTCTTTTTTTCCCTCGCTTCGTTTGTTTATTACAGTTGATACTGTTTAAATTTATACTGCATATTGTTTAAATGCGTATTTTTTAGTATATACTGTACGTAGTAAATATGCATTTAGACAGTTGTTAGTTGTATAAATGAAATTAGACAGTCGAAGACGTTATGTAATACACGTTACTCTAGTTATATCGACATAAAAAAATCAAGGATACCTTAACCAGAGGCATTTCCATATTAAGTATATAGGACTAAATTTTTAAAAAATATCATTATAGCCAAATGTTGGTATATCCAGATGTTGATATAACCAGAGTGACGTGTATTTGCATGAAGAGGCCATTCATGAATATTGATATTGTTCTCTACGAATGATATCTTTAAAGAA